TCAATCCCATGGGTTAAATGTATTTGTTGTTGACTGGTTTATTCTTAGTTTATTCTTAGTTGTCATTATATTTAACTTTTACATGTTTTAGTTATAGTATCCTAAATTTTATTAAGTTTTTATCGTGTTAGCCATCCAGGATGCGCAGCCCCATGAATCCATTAAATAAGTAAGTAAGTAAATAAATGTTTTTAATTCGCTGTTATGTAGAACTGAAAACTCAGAAATATATTGATATATTTGGAACAGCATTCTAGTTTCTGCTCACCTATCAGATATAAACAAGCAGAACCAAACATAAAGAGTTCAATTAATTACTTTATTGCTCAACCTATTTCATAAGAATCTTCCTAGACTGGCAGTTTGCACCTGGGTCAGACTAGGTTCAATAGTATTCAAGGGGGAAGGGGCATAATTTGCCTTTTTATGCCTACACAAGGATTCTAGACTAATGTCCCACTTGTCTCTCTCCCTGGCTTGTCCTGTTTCTCTCTGACACCCTCCCCAATAAAGTAGTAATTGTTCTGGTAGTCTAACTGAATAACATGTTCAAAGGCATAAAGATGGTGAATTTGCAACCTTATTGCACGTCAGAGCTGAAGAAGCTTCTTGGATGAGAAGCAAAATGTCTTCAAACAAAAACAAGAAAGTCCAGTTGCCTTGAAAAAAAAAGCATCCTTAGGTGCAACTTTATTGTTTCTCCTAAACCTCTGCAAAGCATACAAGATCCTGAATCAGGATCTTCTATCTAGAGTGAATGAAGATTTATTCTGCTGTGTCCCTGGGTTTGTGGGATTCCATCTTGCTTCCTTGCTGGAAAATGTAATCTTTTCCCTTTCCATCGTGCCATTTTGATCAACTTCTGAAGAAAAGGGAGAATTTTAGATTGGGTTGTGGGGTTTTTTTGGCAACTTTAAGCAAAACATTATTTGTAGGCAGATTATTGGATTAAGAATTAAGTGTGACATTGGCTTTGGGATCAGTCTGTATTTTACATGTATTAGTAATATATGAAGATTCCTTGATCTTATAATCATATCTGTTGCAAGAGGTGCCATTTTTCAAATTCAGCTGCTTCATCAACTAAGACTGCCCTAACTACCATAAAGCAGATTTTGCCACCATCTGATGAGATTACTGTATCCAGAAATTGCAGTTAAGTGAAAAATGTAGTTTACAAATGCTCGGCATTAAGACATAGGTGTAAAATCAATATTTAGACTGTTTTATGCCTCTTTACTTTGAACTATACTGATGGCTAGTTTCTTTCTGGTTAAATTCATGGTACAGTGGTAAACAGTTAAAACTTTAAATTGCATGGGATCTGGCTATCTGAAAGGCTGCATTGTTCCGCATATTGCTTCCTACATTCCAGGCATCATTTGAGGTGTTACCGCTGATTCCATCAGCCCATGAAACTAGGCATGCAGCAACAAGTTCTAGTACTTTTAGAGGCTTCATCCATCTTGTGGAAAATTCTATCAAAAGATATTTGTCAGGACCTGGTAGCCAATCACACGCAGATTGCCTGTACTGAGTATGGTGACTTTTCCTTTAGGGGAAAATCATGTAGATCTCTTCAGTTACCTGTCTCCTCAGTATCCAGGGCTAATAACTGTCTGCAGAACAAATACTGTAAACAAATAGACCAAACTAGACTGACATCACAGCCATGGCAAAAATGTAAGTTCCTGTGAATAAAGGCTTATACATTTTATTACTTATATTAGTCTAGAGGAAGGGGGTGTGAATATCCAAAATACATATTCAGTGAATGTTTTTGCTTTATTTTTATCATTTAATCTAAAATAAAGTTATGTGAAGTGGGTACTTAGATGGTACATTTCTCATACAACTTGGTTAAGCATAATCCTGGATACACTGATTGGCGATTCTCTAGTTTGAGACTCACATAACATACAGTGCTGCCTGAGACAATAATAAAACAACATCAGCTACCAATGACATATATAGAAATCAACTCCAATGATAATTGATAATCTTTCAAACCTAGAGATGGGACTATGTTCTCCACTCATCTGGGGATTAAAAGATAGCTCAATGGATAATCAAAGACCATAAAACACTCTAGTTCTGTCTTCCAACAGCTCACTGTTCTTCTATGTATTTTGCTACCTTAAGTGGCCAACTCATCTTCCTAATGGTAGGTAGAGTGGCACTGAATTCTTGTCAGACTTATGCAATTCTATTCATGTTGATGTTATTTTCAGGGTGTTAAGAGATTTTCTTTGATCAATGTTCAATGAATGAAAAACCCTACCAAATGAAAGCTAATGGGCCCTTTATCCTCTCTCATCTCAGATCTGATTCAACAAAACAGCATCAGCTTCAACTTGCGTTCAAGGAAAAAAATTATATCCATGGGAAGAATAGAAGTAACAAATAGGCACCATGAAAGCAATGCTTAGTACAAGAGTTAACATGCACTGCTAACATGAACTAATCTTATCAAAAAAAATGCTACTAAGAAATATGTGAAGTTATTATCAGCACTTTTAGGAAGAAAAGGCTGAGATTAAGACACTAATAAATATTGAGGGAAAAGAATCACTTGGAATTATTGGAGTAAGATCATGCAAAATACATCCATAACGCCAATGACATTTCTTTTAAGTATTTTTAACATAACCAAATATTGTGCGCTATACAAAAATAATCATGCAATTCTTTTCATTTTCTTTTATGAATACATGTCCTTCAAGCCTCACACTGCAGATCTCAGCTGAAAGAAAAATTCCAAATATGATCACACTTTCTGCATTGCATGTCCATTTCAGGTATGTTCTCCATAGGAAATAACTACTAAATCTTGGTCTACAACAGCCTGTATCCAAATTAAAAGCCTCCCAGTTTCTGGACGTACTATACTCCATCATTTCTACAAGCATGGCTATTGGTTTCCAAATCTCTGGAAAGTGTGAATGACTGAAGGTAGAAAAAGACTGTCCCATCAAAAAAAAAAAAAAAAAAAAAAACCAGCGGGGAAGGGAAAAAGAGGAGGGACACATCTATGTTAAATTATTTAACCATATCATTTTATCTCCAAGCATATGACTTTTTTTCTTCTGTTGGTAAAATTAAGACTGTCCATTCATCAAAAACCAAAACCAGTTGTGGGTATGTTATGTAACACATTCAAGAAGAAAGAGAAAACAAGCCTCACTAGACCTTCCATTTTATAGGCTTGAGTTGTTGAGGGGAAAGGAGGGGAGGGAACAGCAGGGGGGAGGGGAAGGAAAAAGGAAAAAAAGGGGGGGGAGGAAAAGAAATGAGAAAGGGAAAGCATCAGCAACAATTTTCCACCACTTAGAAGGTACAGCATGCACTATAAAAGCCAAAACATCAGGAAGAAATTACCTCCCATAATGATACAAGTTCTTTCACGGTTATAAAAACATAATTCTTAACATGAAGACTTGCAGCCAATTAAAAAGCAGCAGTGGTGCAGGGAGATTGTATGCAGCAGAAGGACAATGTTCCCCCCCCCCCTTTCACCACCCCCAGCCATTTTTTTCCTCCTCCCCTTTGTCAGTTTCCAGAAAAAGGCAGGAGAAACCATTCAAGAGAATCTTGGCACAGCCAAGGAGAGAAAGAAGCAGATCCGCCAAATTCTCCTGCAGAATCACTTCTATCTCCTAAATTCAGATTTCCTTGAGGTCATTCTGTGAATTAGACAGAAGCTTTCCTGTTTTCCTTGCTTTATTTCTCCCCACTTGCGAACTTCTAAAGAGGATTCCCAGAAGCAACCCATATGTAGTCTCCCTTCTGAAGTGCAGGGAAAGTCCACACACATTGAACTTGATAGGACATCTCCTTACATTTGGCAGCAACCTCCCAGAATCTGTGATAAGAGGAGAAGGCATAGAAATCCTGAAGGAGACACAAAGCTGAGGGACGCATCAGGCTTAAACAGCGGATACTGAGGTGTCTGGAATGGCAGTGTGCCATGTGCCCAACTGCCTGGCTTTCCCCACTAAGAGAAGGCAGTGGAAGACACTGTCCAGAGGCCAGTGTTAAAATAAGTTCACTACCGGGAAGGGAGGGAAGACTGGAAGTAGCTTATATTTCCACCCCAGGCAACAAAGTGCTTGGGCTTCGCCTGAGTACAGTAAGGGCAAGAATGCCACCCAAAGTGGATAACCATAACTCTGCAATCCTAGGCACGAGGTTTGTTTTGGAGAGTCATGTGGAAAGATTTTTCTGGACTTTATTTAACCAAGGAAACTAAAACATTTCTAGAAGATACAGAATGCTGTTGGGATGCTAGATTTGTCGAATGCATACCGAGGTTACCAGTTTGGGGGAAGAAAAACTTAGACACAGCACTGCACAGAAAGCCTCCTTTACTTTTATAGGCATTACCAAAAACCTTGGCGTTTTAAAAAGAAAATACACAAATGTTTCTTTCTTCACCCCACCTCCACATGTACAAAATTGCATTGCCCTTTGGCAACCTCCGTACAGTTGCAATCCTAAACATTGGAAAAACTCACCAGTACTAAGCAGCATGCATGGGGGGGGGGGCGTTTCACTTATGCCAGGGGTCTAGGCTAAGACTAGCGGTAGCTAAGACTAAAGGTGATGAATTCCTCTGAGCATGTGCAGAATGCTCTGAACACGGCCACCATCATTCCAATAGGGAGGAGAGGAGCAGAAGGGAGGGTCTCAAAGGGGTAACTTCTGAGATTTTTCAACGTCTCCCCTTAAACCTTCCTTCTCGTTTTAAAACACCCCTAATCTCACCCGGTGCACAAGTGGGGGGGGGAGTCTTCAGGTAAGCAGTTCCCCCCCAGGGCCGCCGCTTTGCACAATTTTCTTCCCAGCTCCAACTCGCCCTCTCCTCTTCAACCCAAACCTGAGGGGACGGGGGGGGGGTTCGCAACTGATCCGAAAGCGCGCGCACAGGTGGGCCATGGGGATATCCTCGAGCTCGGCGGCCAACAGGAAAAAGAAAGACCAAAGTTGCTTCCGACACTTACACGAAGACGCCGAAGAGCAGGACTCGAATCCCGATCTCGATAGCTAGATCCCGCATGGTTTAGTAGTTAGTCCAAGAGGAGCAGGCAGGAGCAGGCGGGGGGAGGGGGGATTCGAGCGGGTCGGCTGTGGCGGCGGCGGCTTCACAGCTTCCCTGGAAATCCCACGGACCCGGGCAGAGGCGGGGGGGCGATCGGCAGAAGCGCTGCTGCCTGGCTTCCGAGCCGCTCTTCTGGCGAGCCGCCTTCCCCCCTCCCGCCCAAGTGCCGCCGCGCTGCGCCCAGAGCCAGCGCCTCCGCGTCCATTCCCAAGGCCGGCGGGAGCCGGGATGATTCAGGCCGTCGCCTGCGCTCCCCAAACTGCAGACAGGACGGAAGGCGCCGGCCGCGGGAGAGAAGCGGCCGACTGCGCTCGGCGGAGTGAACCCGATCTCCTCTTCGCCGCGCCAGCCGGGGCGCCTGCTCGCTTCGTTGGTTGGTTGGCGGGCGGGCGGGCCGACCCACCGGGGCTTCCCTGTTCGGGGTACCAGAGGGCGGAGGCTCCCGTGGCTTAATCTAGCGCAGGCTGGGTTGAGGGGATCCTGGGGGATTTCCATGGCCCTCCCCATCCAGAGACTATCTGTTGCCCGCCTGTACTTAACTCTAAACTCCGGCACGTTTCCTCTTACGACGGCTGCGATTGCGGCGGTCCCTGCTGGTTTTCTTCCAATCACCTTTTTTTTTTTTTTTTTTAAGCCAGATCCAATTTTCAGAAACCAAGATAGACGCTGGTCAGAGTTGTCCTCTTGGTTGTGGTTGGGATTTTTTTCCCTTGCTTTCTCTAAAAGCTAAAATTGCAACGCTAAACCTGCTAACCTGGACATAATAATCCATTTATATTTGGGGGAGGGTGGGGGAGGGTCTGTTGTCTATTGAGATAAAAACAAAAGCATCGCTTCCTTCCAGTCTGTTGCAGGAAGCTTGTTTCTACAACAGACCCTTTCAAAGGCAAAGAGCAGATGAAGCAATTTTTTCTTATTAAACTGGGAACGGGTGAAAATTTGATAACTTCTGAAACTGGGTTTCCCCAACATGCTTTAGTAACCCAAGTATTCTGACCCTATAAAAAGGTTGTTGTTGTTTTTTTTTTAAAAAAAAAGGAGGGGGAGGTATGGATTTTAATACTATTGTGATCATCCTAAACTATCTCTGAGATTTCAAGGGAAGCACAGCATTTTATACATGGAATTAATCTTAGCCCACATCTGCATCCCATTTATTAAAATATATAATTTCAGCATTGGGTCAAAATTATATTACTTAGTTTGGGCATGGGAGTTGCTTTTGTTTGTTTGCCTTGTTGACAAGAGATGAGAAAGGAGAGAAAGAGAAACATTCGCTTTCCAAAATAGGCCTAATCAACATATGAATTGCCTTGATATTGATAGAGCACTTTATGATCGCTAAACCCCTTCATATTTTGTTTATTTAAAGCTTAAGATGCTTGCAATTACTACCCGTGCGTCAAAAGCCAAGGAAATTGTAATTTAAGAAAGCAATCTTAAATGTCACATTGTTTAAGTTGTGATGGTCAGGCTTTGTGCAACAGTTTGACTTGGTCCTCATTGAATATGTATTTGATTCATCTGTAAAAGACAGAGTTCTCTCCAGATCCCATCTGTTATATTGCTTGTCCAGGCAGAAACCTGAGGGATTTTTCTATGCCACATTGTGACATATAGCACTGCATGAATTAGTCATATAAATATAAAAAATCAGACAAAAGAAACCTCAAGCTGGTCACTTTGGGCCTTTATCTATCAGATATACAGTAATTAATTATCATCAAAATGAAAATGAAGATTGAGTCTGAAGAAGGCATACCTAAGTCCAACAAATACTTGTAGTAAGGTGTAATTGAATCAGGAACAAAACCTGTCCTTCATTTCATTCAAGAAATGGATTTTATGCAGAAGATCCAAAACCAGTACAAAAATAACCAAGCATGATCCAAAAGTACAGTTTGTTAACAGTTTAACAGTTTAATTCATGGTGTCCTTCTCTTAACAAGACTGGATATGACATACCTTCATGGCTAAGGCATGCAATTTATCATGCCAAGGTTGCTTTTATGTAGGGTTATGCACATGCAGTCATGACTGACAAAGAAGAGGAAAAACTCATTGGCGACGAAAGAGAACTCATAAGAAGCCACCTGTTGAATCAGGTTACTGGTCTAGTATTTTGTGTTCATAGGGTGGCCAAACAGATGCATTCCAGAAGTTTATATATAGGGCCAATTTTCACTATTGCTATCTAGCAGCTGATAAAGAAAATATGTTGCCTCTGATTCCCTACAAACTGTTTTTTCAACCTTAGAATTTTTGAAATAGTCTTGCTTCAACTGGGAATAAAGATCTTTAGTAATTTAAAGGTCCACGGGCTTCTGAGTAGGATAAATCTATGAGACAGTGAAGAGAACCTCAAGTAGAATCAGAAAATATCACCGATAACTATCAGCAGCATTCTGGTTCAGGTGTAATTTGATTAATTCCTTTCATTATGACATGGAAAAGGAGAAAATATTAAACTTCACTGGTGTAAAATCTTCTAGAAGTACCAAATAAAAGTAAGCATGATAGGCTAGTGAACTAAAAATCCTGACTCAACCTAAATATAGAACGCTTCTGATATATTCTCGCACCCCTTACAAAAGTTCAAAATAACAGCAACAAATTATGCATATGCACTATAATTTTGAAAACCCAAGTTTTCACGCCCCCTGGAATATTGTCTCACATCCCCTAAGGGGTACGAGCACCCCTGGTTGGAAACATCTGATCTATTGGAAAGTTCTTTTCTATACCAGGAAGTTTTATGTAAAATTCAAGGGATGAGGCTTTAAACTTTTGTGTCAAAAGTCCAGAAATATCTACCTTAAATTGTAATGGATACAGCCTGCATCACAAGAAACAGGTGTACGAATGAGTAGTTTTATATATGGGAATGGTTTAAAGACAATTTTCTCAACTAAAGCAGTGAAATCAGTGGAAATGGGAAATGCAACAAAGAAATAAAATAATATCAGAACAGTCGAAATAACTGAAATAGTCTTATGAACCTAAGCTTTGAGCTTCTATGGGTGGTAGAGAAAACTGAAGATGAGCTGATGACTGTGGCAAACACCAAGGAACCAATGAGTATACAGGTTTCTTGAAACTGCTTGGGATAAGGAGAGAACGGGGGATTGCCTGCTTGCGCTCCAAACGCCTATTCCCCACAAGGAGACTCAAGGACACTAGCTTTCTGCAGGGTTTTGAGTTCCAGGAAATGATGCAACTGCAATAGAAACTTTTAAAGGGCACTCAGTTTGCAGATCTCACTTTCTAATCACTTTTGGAAATTGTTCATTAACCAACTGCTAAACTGCTACAGATCTTTGGCATGACAAGTTTGAAAATCAGGGTGAGTATCCCTTTAATATTAAATGAAAGAAAACTTTAATTATAAGCTTGAGAATTTAAGGAATCTGAAGTAAACAGGGAAAAGCTAAATAGGATCTTGATCTTATCAAGTTATAAATAAACTAAGGGTCCAAAAAATGAAATATTGAAGCTTTTACTATAAGATTTTAATATTAATTATAAAGTACTGACAGCTTATGGGGAAAATAGCTCCTGTTTTGGGTTTTTACAAGATACAACATAAATTATTTCATCATGTCAAAAACTGGACAGTAAAGGGGCTAAAGATTTTAGGCAGGGGAAGATATGCAAGATAGTTATGACAATAAAAACAATTAAAAAAGTCTTTTGAAGAATGGGATCAGATAATAGTAGCCAAATCTCAACAATGTCCAAAAAATATGATATGATCAAAGAAATGTCAGATAGAGAACAATTTTTATCTGACAAGTTAGAAATAGTATCAAAAGTGGATGTACAATTGATAGGCCCACAGAGTAATCTGGAAAAGAATAGTTTACTGAATATACAAAAGAAACTGGCTGAGTGTTAAAATTTAAAAAGGAAATATAAATGACAAACCAAGAGAGTGTCTTGGATAATCTTTCTCACTAGATTTACAAAAGAATCTTATTAAAAGCTTGAAAATTGTCCTGTACAATAGAACGATGAAGAAATGAAATCAAATCCTACAACAATATTTGAAGAAACTAAAGATTAAGACTGTTAGAAGTAAAAGAGAGGGATATAAAGTTGGTTCATCTGATCAAGGTTAAAATAAAGTACATTGTTATTTCTGGCTATCATTTTTGGACTTTCTGCTGATACCAGGGCTGAAAATATGACATTTTATGAATTTGTTTATAGATAAAACATGGGATGTGAAAGTTGGAGCATAAGAAAGGCTGAGCGCAAAAGAATTGAAACCTTTGAACTATGGTGCTGGAGAAAACTCCTGCGAGTCCCCTGGACTGCAAGGCGATCAAACCGGTCAGTCCTAGAGGAGATCAACCCTGACTGCTCTTTAAAAGGCCAGATCCTGAAATTGAAACTCTAGTACTTTGGCCACCTAATGAGAAGAGCCTAATGCTGGGAAAGATTGAGGACAATAGAAGAATGGGACGACAAAGAATGAGGTGGCTGAATGGAGTCACTGAAGCAGTAGACATGAGCTTAAATGGACTCCAGAAGATGGTAGAGGACAGGAAGACCTGGAGGAACATTGTCCGTGGGGTTGCGATGGGTTGGATACGACTTCACAACTAATAACAACAAAACATGGGATTTAGGATAAAGAGATAAATGTTTGTACCAGTAGGCAGACAGAAGAGTTACTAAGTTTGTTTATACCTATGATGATAGTTGGAAGTCACTTCTTTATATCTTTATTTTCTCCGTCTTCATTATATTCTTACTTTTCCTTTGTACTTTTTACTCCTATTTTTTTTCTTTAACTTCAGTTTATATTGCATTTTCCTATTAAAATTCTTCAGAAAAAGAAAAAGAGAAAGAAACAGTCAATTTCTTCTCAGTTAGGGTTAAGACATGTTCGGAGTTCATTGTAGAGAGGATATCTGTGGAATGATAATCTGATAATGTTCTGCTTGAATTTATTATTCATTTAGTTCTTGGATTTGTATTCCACCTTGTCATTTGGTAGGAACTCCTTTGTCAAGTATTCTCTTCTTCACCTTTCTAAAAAGGAACTAATAACCTGTAGACAATAACTTATTTTTCATCAATTGTGCCATTGTATTAAAAAAAAGATATACATGAGTAGATTTTGGTGATGCTAGTGAACGCCATTTGTTCAGGCCTTTCAGGATGGGCTCAATTTATCAATTGCTTTAAGAGCACTATTGTGTCTTTTCCAAAAGCATAGGTCTGTCACACTAATGGACACTTATATTAGAGTACATAGAATCATATGTGTAGGATCCTCAAGTAGGATTTTTAAACTCAGTTTTGAAGGAAGACATGTACATTCTCAAAATAAAAATAAGATGGGAAAACATAGGGTCAGGTTGTTAGCATCTAAACAATTAAAACACTTAATTTGCAGCATGATCCTATAGAAGTGTATTCCAAACTCCAGTTAATTAAAAGGTGATCCCTCCCAGAAAAGTGGATGGGATCAGTTTTAATTTTTATAACCCCACTAGAAGCATGAAGGAATTATCCAAACACTTCCATCCCAAAATAAATGTTATATTGTCATAATAATGAAGGAGAATATTT